TGTTATTCCGTTTACACACAAAAATCTCACTGTACACACTACTCAGGCTTCTCAGTTTCACGCAAGAACAAGGACAAAATAGATTTTGTTTCAAAAATAAGTGTGAAAATGACCCTCTACTTTTTTTTTTTTTTGGGAGGAGGAGGAGGAAAGAGGACTTTAACCCCTCATCTCAAGAACACAAAATTTTCATAATATAAAAAGTACCTTTAGACCAAAAATCCATTGATGAAATGTCAAGTTGAATTGCTGGTGATAACAACTTGAATGTACAAGAACCAAATCCCACCATTAACAGGTATGGACCTTACTAGCCCGAAAAAGTTCGTTGGTTTGGCTTATTTTTTGTTTTTTGTTGTTTTTTTTGTGTTATATCTTTTAAAATAAGTTTAAATTATAAAAAAATATCTAACTTTTATTTACAGTAACCATAATCTTTGTTTGAATATTAAATAGATTGGTTATGAATTGCCTGCATGGAAACAATCAAACCGGGCCCTATGTGACACATTGCACATTGCTAAACTTAGGAGTGTTGGTGACATAAAATCCAGATCCATTTTATTATATTTTTTAATTTATCAATTATATATCATTTAACAAGAATTAATGTGAAATTACTTGTTACATTTAAGTTCTTCCATCATACTTAATTGATATTCTAATTTTTGGCACTAAGAAGAAATTTATGTTGGAGTTGATTTAAATACTCACGTACATAGGCCCATTATGAGCATGAGGTCTTGAAAACGAATGGACGAAAAAAGAAAAGTAATAATGAGAAAGAAAGAAAGAAAAAAAACCGTAACATTTTCTAGCCGTTGGAACAAAGAGGTAGAGGTGTAACTCGGGCGAGTTGGACAATGATTTCTAACTCAATCATAACTATATAATCTCCAACTCTAATCCTAATCCTAACCCTAGCCCAAGTATATAATCCTTGGGTTGGGGAACTCAACTCGAGCATTGTCCAAGTTTAATTTGGACGGGCTCGGGTTGAATTCGGGTTAATTTCGAGTTATTTTACGGGTTCAATTCGGGTAGAGTCTAAAATAGGTTTGTTGTTCTAAACTTAATACATATATTACATAATATTCACATAAATTAACAACCAATAATTTCAACCAAATTTTTAACGAGAGAGGCTAAAAGAACGGGAGAGGCAAAGAGAATGAGAGAGACAAAGAACGATAGAACAAAAATGAAATATCAGTCATAATGCTTTATATATATAATTTTTTTTTACAATTTGTCGGATTTGGGTTAAACTCGGGTTCACGAGGCCTTAACCCGAGTCCAACCCAAATTGAATTCGAGTTAAAATTTTTTAACCCAAACTCAATCCAAGTATTAAAAGCCCTTGTCTAAGCCCAAATTTTTTTGAGTTGGGCTCGAGTTGAAATCGGATTGCCCAACCTAAATTACACCCCTACAAAGAGGCTAGGAAACGAAAGAGAGATCTAATTGTAGTAACTAATTTTGATGCCACGAATTATTAGAAATTCTTTGGTTTGAATTAAACTTTTTGTAGTAATTTTGTTTTCAATCAATTATTTTCCGAAAAACCAAAATGATTGACCTCAATAGCCTTAGGACAATGAAATTTTAACAGCAGAAAAAATGGTAACAAAATTAGTACTGCGACAAAAAGTTGGGTTTAAAAAAAACAACTTAGTTATCCTCATAAAAATCCGAAAGATTATATTGGTAATTTTCAAATTTCTGCTTTCTTTAAGTAGGATCACAATGAGTAATTACATTGAACAAAATTAAATTGATGTGACCTATCACGATTTAAATCAGTCAAAGTACGAGTCAGTTCAAAGAAGGGAGCTAGGTCCTCATAGTTTTGGAACAGTATTATGAAGGGAAGAGAGCTGCTAGAGAATGGGATGTTATGGCAGCTTATGAATGGTAATGAGATCAATATTTGAGATGACAAATGAATTTCTCTTCTTCCGAAGACAGCTATTTCCACCACCAGGCCTCAACCATGTGATATTGAACATGTAAGTCAACTCATCTCTCAGCTTTTCAAAGTTTGGAACACAGACTTGCTGAAATCCCTGTTCAGTGAAGCTGAACGCAAGGCCATCTTGGCCATCCCGATTCCGAAATTGAGTGGGAGTGACAGGAGAATTTGGCAACCATGTTCGAGTGGAGTGTACTCTGTCAAATCAAGCTATTCAATGGCAACCAATCTCAAATCCTCCAGTATTATGGATGCTAGCTCTTCATTCTCTCCCCATCCGAAGCTTTGGCATGTCATATGGAATATGGTTGCTCTCCCAAAAATAAGACATTTCTAGTGGAAGGCTTGTAACAATGCGCTGGCTTCTCGAAAAAATCTGTTTAAAGGAGATGTGCAGACTCTCCATGGTGCCAAATTTGTAAAGACAAGGAGGAGTCAATTGAACACTGATTGTTTGGATGCGAGTGGACACAAAAGGTGTGGCTTGTATCAGACCTTGGCTTTAGATTTGCAAAGGAACTGAATGTGCCAGCAGTTAAATGGGCTTCGTCATTTCTGGATGCAATCAATGATACAATCAGGTCCCTTAAGATTATGGGAAAGTTGCGACCATTACGTGGAATATTTGGAAGGGGAGAAATCTGATGGTGTTTAACCGAGAAGAACATAATGCACTATCCACTGTTTTCAAAGCCAAGCAGTCGTGGAGCGAAGTGATCTCAGTGCAAAAATGAGCTGAAAGGTGGAAGCTGTCTTCTAACAGGTCAATCCCTCCTCCTTCTCAGAGGTTTCAAGGTTTTAAAATTAGTTGTGATGGGGGTTTCAAAGAGAGTAGTGTTGCTCTTGGAATTGTTCTAAGGGACACCAAAGATTGTTTTCTGGATGGAATTGGAAAGAGAATCCCTGCTGTTTCTAGTCTATATGCAGAGGCGGAAACAGTGATAATCATGAAGTAATTAAGCTCAACTCAACCGAAGGGCTTCCTCCATGGAAAATAAGTGCTTTTGTGGAAGATATTAGAGATTATGCTGGACACCAGACACTTTGATCTTAAATTTTTTTACAAGTCAAGAGTACTTAATAGGACATTTCATTGAGTGGCAGCAGTGATACTATTTAATTCTATTACTGTGAATTAGGTCAGTTGTCTCTCAATAGAGTTTAAGAATTTTTTGCTCAACATTTTTCTAGAACTATATTTCAAATCAAAAAAAAAAAAACAACTATCAAAAATATTTCGACAACTATTGAAGCATCTCAATTTATGTTGGAAAAAGGACAGAAGGGGAGTTAATTATCAAATCCTGCATTGGGAAAAAAGTCACCATTTCCTAAAATGTCATATCATGTCTAAATAAAAGAGTTTGTAACTATCAAATATTCTCTCCCATATCTTCTCAAACAAACTGAGAGACTACACCATTAATCACTAGAGGACCCTTGCTTTGCCAAGATATGTGCAATTGTATTCCCAAGAGTGTATTCGTCATTTTATCCAATTGGGAGAATTTGGCTCAAACTTTCTAATTATCATAAAATGAGTTTGTTGGTTAATTAATGTAAGAATACTAAATGAAATAACAAATGTATTAAAAGAGTTTTAATAAATCATAAATAAGTTTATTAGTGATTTAATAGGAAATATAAAGATTTAATAATATTCAAATTATATTAGATTACACTATTTTATCCCTATAAATAGGGTTGAGTTTTGTGTAATTAATTATTGCATGATCAGTTTTTCAATAAATAATATATCGATGTAGATTTTTGTTTTATGGATAGAGTTACGATATACCAAGATGAATACGATGTATCGAATCACGTTTTTTTTTTTTTATGTTTTGTTTTATTATTTTTTCTATCTTTAAATTCTTATTTTTTAATAAATATTATTTGCATTAATTATCTTTTGGTGGACCACATATCTTCTAGTATTCTCATTTACTGTTGCTCTGTTCACACACACAGCTCATTATACAGCTTACTCAGCTTATTCACACACACAGCTAATTACACAGCGTACTCAGTTCTCATAGTTCATAATTCGTGATTTTATATACCATCAGTATTAATTTTATTGATCTAATTCATCAGTAATTTTGATTATTACCTTTTTTTGTCAGAAGCAGAACTGCAATCCATTGCAGTTGAATAAGCTAGTACAGTAGCCCAGAGGGGTGTGTGTGTGAGAGAGAAAGAGAGAGAATTGCGTCACAGAAAGGTAAAGTCATTGCTTATGATAGCATGGAGTTGGCAGAGGATGCAGAAGCGTTGAGAAAGACAGAGAGCGCGCAACAAGACAAGTGCACCTATTGCACTGCTGTGGACCAACCCATTCGTTTTCACCTTCCCAAGAGCTTCCTCTCTCTCTCTCTCTCTCTCTCTCTCTCTCTCTCTCGTGTTTTCTGGAGTTTATACGCTATGTACATATTAAGCTTCCATTGTGACCTCTAATGGAGTCTTTATCTGATATTTACCTTGGTATTAAGATTAGGTTGGAGTATTACTTCAGGGTGACAAAATCTGGGCCACGTCAAATCTCTCACAGAATCACTTTTCTTGCGTCAGTTTGGAGTGAGAACTGGCAAGAAATAAAAATAAATAGAAATAGAAATAGAAAGGAGCAATAATGAAGGTGATGGGACCGAGTGGCAGGGCGTGGGAGAGGAAGAACATGACATTGTCGGTTATTTTTTATGCTCAGTTGTTAATCTCATCAGTTGTTTCCCACTCATCTCATCTTATAGCTTAGCCTCATCACAAGCAACCAAGCTGTCTCTTGTTGGATACATAGTTGGCCTGTTGCAACCACTGAAACATCTCTCTCTCTCTCTCTCTCTCTCTCTCTCTCTCTCTCTCTCTCTCTCTCTCTCTCTCTCTCTCTAACATTACAGAGGCCATTACAGAGGTTATGAATCGGCGATATGCTTAAGGAGGTGCTGCTACGTCTAAGGCAGAGTTAGGGTCCCATTCATGCTCCTTCCTGCCGTTCAAGGTTTGAGGATTGTGCTTCCCTTTTTGTCCTCTCTCTCTCTCTCTCTCTCCTATTTTTCCCAATTACACGGTTTGGTTGGTTTCTTGATTCGTTGTTTGGTAATTGTTGAAATTAGGGAAATGGGTTGGTGGGTTTAGTACCCAAAAGCTGAATATAAAGAAGAAGAGTGACAAAGAGAAGTACGAGATTTAGTTTAGCTACTGTGGTCATTCGTTTGAATAAAAATTTCACTCATCCATGGTTGTCTCATAAAAAATTAAATTGGGCAAGAAACAGCTTCAAAATCTAAGCGTTGTTGCGCATATAGATAGATGGCAATGACTGGTGAAAACAAGGACATCAAAATTCCAGGCTCTTTGGGTTATCACTCTCTGGAAACCCTAGATCGTGGTTGTCATCTTCCACAGCAAGACCAGCTGATTCAACAACAGTCACAGCGAAGTTCAAACCCAGAAAGGTTCTCAGGCGCTGGAGTCATCAGTACCGGTGCAACAAGTGCACCAATTTCCGGCCGATCTGAATCAAAAACACCATCCAGAGCGCCATCAAAGTATCGAGAATGCCTCAAGAACCACGCGGCAAGCACAGGTGGGAAAGTCACCGACGGCTGTGGAGAGTTCATGCCTGGCGGCGTGGAAGGAACGCTAGAAGCTTTGAAGTGCGACGCTTGTAACTGCCACCGCAACTTCCACCGTAAAGTAATCAACAACGACGCCGTTTTGGTGCATCCACTTCAGCTGACTCCACCATTGCCACCTCCGTCAGTTAATCACCATAGGACAATATCACTGGGTACGCAAAGTAACCACTGGACTTCCATTGTTCAACCTGTGAAAATGGCATTTGGGTTTGGTGGTGGAAGTGTAGCTACAGACTCATCAAGTGAACAAGAGTTCAATTTCAACCCGTTTCAGCCCAATTCAGTGGCGCCGCCACCACCACCATCGTCTGTTACGGCGAAGAAGCGGTTTCGGACAAAGTTCACTCGGGAGCAAAAAGATAAGATGTTGGAGTTTGCAGAGAAGGTGGGGTGGAGGATTCCCAAGGAAGATGATCCTGCAGTCCAAAGGTTTTGTGCTGAATTTGGGTTGAAGAGACAGGTTCTCAAGGTTTGGATGCACAACAACAAGAATTCCGTAAAGAAACAGCCGCAAGAACCATTGGAGTCAAATGCAGCTGAATGAGTAGTTTAGTAGATTGGTGAATTTATGTATAGAGTTGAGATGGATTAGAGAACATCATCTGAATGAAAATCCTTTAGCTAGATTTGACTATGTTTTTATAGGTTTTCTTACGGTCTTTGCTCAAGAACTTAATGAAGGATTGGCTTGGGTACGTCCATTGGGAGTGGAGTGTCGCGAATGTACGAAATGTTTGTTTAAGTGACTTTTTTTCTGCATGAATCTATGAGAAAGAATGGAGGATCAGACGTGAAATAGAGTGAATTCATGTACATCAGCTTTAGATTTTCTTAAGAGATAAAAAGAATTTTAGTGTTAAACTTTTGATTCATGTGTATCAAATATGTGTAAGAGATGTTAATTTGAGATATTTGATATAAATAAATAAATAAAATTTAAAATTAATTATATTCAATATAAATATAAAATAGGATAACGAAACATCATACTAATCATGTCTCTGGTGTAAGCAGTGCCTTGGTTAATATCTGTTGGAGCTGTTTTGGCCTTTATTAACGAAATATCATACGATTGGGCTAACAGCACCGTGTGCTGTCATCAAGGAACAGCAGAGGAGCCGTTCCCTAGGACACTTTTGTTTTATAGTAATCCCATTGCTGCATTATGGGCCTGGACGGGCTGAGTCAGCCCAAAAACACACTATCATGATGCATTAAACCCACCCTAATAGCCTAACTTCTTGTGATACCGGCGCAGATTGGATGCAAAATCATACACTAATATAGGGAGAACACTTTAGGATGATTTGGGAAGCGTTTGGTAACATTTTAACTTTATTCCCTCACATTAATAACTATGGGCTTTCTTTTACTTAAAACTGATCTAGTCTGTGTATTTTTAGACATTTATTTTACTACACTTTCTTTTATCCTCATACTCTTGGGAAGGCTTGGCTTTAAGCAGATCTTGGTAATTGTATAGTTTGAGTTGGTGAACAAAGAGAGAGTTTTCGGTTAGCCTATGGAAAGCCCCTGGAGTTGTTGGTGGTAGTGGTAATTGTTGGACTAAAACAATTTTTTAAATGTAAAAATTAAATTTTTGATCAATTTTGAGCCTAAATTAAAGTAGTACTTATTCGTTGTTTCGAGTAAACTGTTGTGGGTTCATCTTCTGTTTCATAAAGAGAATAACGTAGTATATTCGCTTGCTCAAATTGAGTAAGAAATGAACGAGAAAATAGATTTCAAAGTTACCTTCTTTGAATGTGAAAATATAGGTTGTGCAATGTAAAATTTGACATCAATCTCACATTAGTTGAGGAATAAGTTTTATATAGACATAAATAGGCCAAATTTGCAATATAAGATTAGGTCTTAAAGAGTACCACAATTTTATAAGTAGAGTGAGTGCCTACATATCTTAAGTTCAACTATACACACGCTTGCCTGCCTCAACCACGACTTGACTTGACTAGGCCGGGCTCAGGCACGAGTGTGAGTTAGATCAAACTCTATCTTTTTGAAAAAAAAATGTTTTATAAATTGGGTATGAATTTCTAAAAATTTCGCTACTTGTTGAATTTAAATTCGCACTAGTTCAAATTTTGCCTTTCCTCTGTCCGAATTTCAACTAGTGTTTGTTCATAGATAAACAGTTAATCTATAGAGTTTGTTGGGTTACGTTCGCATGGTGACTTTTCAAATCAATCATTATTCTCTCTACAAAAAAACCCAGCCACATAATATTTTGCTCCAACAGAATTTTGGCATTAAGATGGTTTGTATTTGGAGAATGCACGACATAATTTTGGTTCGTTGGACTAGTAGATTAGAGTGCTATTTTTATTTGAATAAAAATTATTGTACCCTGGAAGACAAATGTTTTGATTTTTCATAATCACCGTGTGTGGATTAAAATTTGTTTTAAGGATATAATGTCAACCACTAACCATGATCTACTTAAAATTTAATAACAATTCATGTTTTGCAAGCAGGTCAGTTTATCCATTGTTTAAATTACAAATTTATTGTATAACTATTTTGTTCGTATCTATAACTATTTCGTACGTATCAGAATAATTGTTTCGTCCTTAATTGTTATTATTTTGTTTGAATTACATATTTTTCAAATAAAAAATTTTAATATATAATTTACTATATTTAAAATACCACAAATAATATTCTTTGAAGTGCTCGAATCAAAGTTTTTAGTACCCAATTCATTTCATGGGTTTGTCTGAACCTATCAGCTTCATGAACTTCAAATCTTGTTTTGGATCAACACCCCAGCTTTGGGTGGGAATCTATACTGACTGAGCTGTCCCAGCTTCATTCTGCTGCAAGCTCAATTCATTATCCTTCTTCGTGTTCTTGTACATGAGGTACAGTGTCATTTGAGCAATTCCGCATAAAAATCCGAAGGCGTTTCGTAGCTGGTCGTTGAGTGACATAAGCCAACCAAAAGAGAAGAAAGATCAGCAAATATATAGACCACTGGAGAAAAAATACGGTACCGAATGGTTATATTTTGGTACTATACATACAAAATTATAATTTATAGTCGGATAAATTTGAAACTCAGTCGGATGAAGTTACACTAAAAAAAGATCGCTTTTTTGAATTGTCGCTTGACGCTGATAGAGTAGGTTTTCGAACTTAATCGAGTTACATTACCCACAGTTGGTACTGTGAGAGTGTGATGTGATGAGCTAAGGATCTATGATTGAACGAATGCCATTATTTACTTACTTCAATGAAGAAATCCTTCATGAAAAATCCATAGAAGAACCACACGACGCCCATTAAAGTGAGGGATAGTGAAAGAGTGAATGGCATGTACTCTACACTTTTTGTTCTTATCACTTGTCTCTGCAGAAAAATAAAGAGCAAATGCTGAGAAAATTTATCCTTCATTATTATTAGTTCAACAATAAATTAATAAGCAATCACTAGGTCACTCGAAAACAATTACAAACGAGATTAATTAATCGTGTATGTTTAAGAATTACCGCGATGCCAAGTGGGGCGGCAAATGCTAAAACGTTGATGACAGTACCTATCCATCCTACAAGTATTACTCTCTTGTGGCCTTTTACGAGTAAGAGAGAGAATAGTAAGATCACACCAAAGCTTCCTACATTCAATAGGAGTATCAAACTCACTGTGGAAATCTGCAAAAACACCACTTTTTTAAGCCTTAGCATGAGAAAAAAGAAAAGAAATAAAATGTGTGAGAGAGAGAGAATTATACCTTAGTTTTCTTGGGTGCATATATCACGTACATTAGAAGGTAAATTGCCTCTACAACACATCCAATACCATTTAGGCTGACGATCATATACTCATTTTTCCTCAGAAAAGCATAAAGCAACATTAATTCTGCACTAAAGAGCATTACTGAATAAGGTATTGATTGAAACCCTTCTGACGATTTCCTCTTGTAAATCTTGCAAAAGGTCGGCCTGAGAGAGAGAGAGAGGAGCAATCATTTTAGTGAGAGAAAAATAGTATTATTGTGGTTGTGGGTCATGGAAATACTCCTGAGCAAAAATATATATAAAGCTTTTTAAAGTAAAAGGGGCTTACAATGGCGCCAAGAGCACTATGAAAGCCACAACATTGCCTACGAACAAGTGGGAATCAAAGAAGATTCAGTAAGACATAGAAAAATATAAATCCTGTGATTATAAAAATACAATTTTTAGTAGCGTATGTAAAAGCTTAAAGAGAGAGGCCATCGTGACAGTTCTTGAAAGAAAATCTACCACAATATTTCGCGGTATGACACCTAAAAAACTTTTCAATGTCGTGTCAATTTTTTCAACGTTTTGTCCCATTCAAGATGAGGTTTTGGTTACAACATGATACCCATCGAAGATAAAACACTTCATTACACACATGAATCTCTATTACTGCATGAAAATATTAAAAAAATTAACTTATGTATAGCAAATCTTACTTGAGTCAATGACGAATAATCTATAATTTGAAGAAAAATGAAATAAAGAGGAGTAGAGCGGATCTAAATATATATATTTAAGAACCAAAGTAATGGTTATTACCTATGAGGCCGAAAATGAAAGCCAAGTTTTCATCTGTAAAGATTGTCATCTATTTAGTGAAGCTCTTCGTAGAGAAAAATGCTATTTTACCCAACAAAGTGGCTTAGAATAACTCTCTAAACTTCCTTCGTATTTATAATCTGCGTAAGACGAGTTGGGCGGAGAAGATATTGCGGCGAATGTTTGGCTGAAGAACAAATCCCACTAACTTTTGGTTTGAACCAATTGTGACCATTGTCTCTATGCCACAAACTGCAAAACCAACCCCTTCACGTCTCACTTGCTGGCCCTGAAATGTCTGTCAAAAAACACAAAGAAAATGCTATTGTGATTTAATTCACTATAGTACAATTGACCAATTTTCTTGCCTTTGATATTAGCAATGCCATTCCAGTTGAACAGACACGAGGATTTGATTTCTTTGATGTTTTCTTTTAATTTGGGTTACATTTAGAGGAAAAAAATGACGTGTTCACCGAAACCATTGTCAAATTTTTAATCCCATAAAAATCGACACATTAATAATCAGTGAATAATTAATGAAAGTTTAAGAAATTCACTAGTACTATGATTCAAAGTGATTTGGGGTGGGATAGTAAAAAGTTTGGTAAATAGTTGTCTATCTGATTTGATGTTTTTGGAAATAACAGCCCTCGAAATGTACACCCATTTCCGTAGTGTAAGTTGTCAAAGAAAGGAAGTTTTGGTTATGTAAGGCCAGATTTTGGATGGCCGTGGATCGGAGAAAAACGAGTATTTATTTAAATCTATTTTGTTTGAATTAGAAATGAATTATACGTATTAAATAATATACATATATAAAAATATTCGTATAAATTCGTATGGGGATAAAGGCGGGAATGAACTTACCCTTATCCCGCCCCGCCCTTCCTACCTGTTATATATATATATATACTCGTAAGCCTTAATTAAACATATTTACTGTAACTACTAATCTAGAAATATGGTAATCAAACTAACAAGTAGCATTGCTATGTGTTAATCTTATCAATTTTTTTTCCTAATTATTTTTTTTTCTATTTGTGTTCACTAATTGAAACTGTTAGGAGTTTAGATTGATCATGCTCTAAAAATAGATAAGAGAAAGTAAGATAGTTTTGTATTTTATTGTGGATCGAAATATTGTGAATGGAGGTTGATGAGTTTCTCTGCTAGAATGAACTAAGAAATTAGCAGAATTATTGAATTAACGAAATTTTAAGTTTTCATCTTTAAACACTTTATGACTGTAATATGAATTGTAATAATAAAAATTCTTCTAGGAAATTTCAAGTGTAGTGTTATCGTTTTCTTAGTTCAATTTTATTTTATTTTTTCTTCCTTTCTCTCTAATAGTTCTGTTTCTTTTTTTGTGGTCCAATGACACTTTAAACAAAATACTATATTATTTTGGCTTTTACATTTTGTAATCTAGATTATTCACTAGATTATTTAGAATGTTGTTGGATTATTTAAAATATTATATTTATTTAGAATTTTGGATTATGCTACTTAGGCTTGGGCTTGAGCTTAAGCGGGTATGGGGAAGCGAGGACGGGGACGAGGATTAAAAATTTATCCGTGGACGGGGATGGAGATGAAAATTATACCCGTTAACAGGGGTGGACCGGGGATAGACAGAATTTTTTTAAGTGGGTACGGGGATGAAGACTACACTCCCCGCCCCTTGCTTCGGTCCACTGACATTCCTAGCCCAGACCAAGAATGTACGGGTCTTTTTATTGTACCCATTTTATCTTATCAGTATAGTATCAAAAAAATGAACATTCATCGTTGATTTATAATCAAAAAGTTACAACTGTTGATGAAATTTAAAATAATATTTTCATTTAACCGGCTACCCACTCCGATAGGTTTGAACCTTGACAAATTCATTAAAAAAAATAAAATCAGACAAGTACAAAAAACGAGAAAGAAGAAGATGGAGTTACATAGTTTTTTTTATTCCTATGAACCATTTAAGAGATTATAAATGAATTAGTAGGTTGAGATTATAGTAATCTTATATTTAATAAAAAAAATACGCTTAAAACTTTTTAGAATAAGATTATCATGTGGATACAAAACCAAAAAGAAGTAAGGTTCCAGTCGAATTCTGAATAATTGGGGTTTGGTTAGTAAGAATACTAATTGTATGCAAGGTTCCCACTTTTTTGAGGATAGATTATCACTTTTTTTTTGTAAGATTACCATTTTTAAAAAAGATTACCACTTATTGAGGGTAATATTACACTGTTGAGATAAAAGTACAACTTTTTTGGGTAAAATTACCATTTATTATAAAAGATTACTACTTTTTGAGGTCAAAATTACCACCGTTGAGGTAAGAGTTGCAATTTTTAGGTTAATATTATCACTTTTTTGGGTTAGAATACAGGTATAAGAATACAACTTTTTTTGTGTAACATTATCACTTTTATTTGGCAAGAATACTACTTTTTTGATAAGATTACCATTTTTTGAGGCAAGATTATCTGTAACTTTTGGATAAGATAACCATTTTTTTAGGGAAGATTATCACTTGTTGAGGGCAAAATTACCACTTACCTTGAGGTAAGAGTACAACTTTTCTTGGTTAACTTTACAATTTTTTTGGGTGCAAGAATATAACTTTTTGCGTGTAACATTAACACTTTTATTTGGTAAGAACATCACTAATTTGGTAAGAATACCAATTATTGAGGCAAGATTATCACTTTTTTTGAGAAAGAATACCAATTTTTATGGAAGGGTATCACTTTTTGAGGAAAAGATTACCAATGTTGATGTAAGAGCACCACTTTTTTTGTTAATATTACCATTTTTTTGGGTTAGAATACAAATTTTTTTAGCCTAGAATACAATTTTTTTTTGGTGTAAGAATATAATTTTTTTGGTGTAACATTATGACTTTTATTTTGTAAAAATACCACCTTTTTGAATAAAATTACCACTCTTCATAACTAAGGTCAACAATTATTTGGCTAAGCTACTGATAATAGATTATAATTCTTGGGTAATAATAGCACTTTTTGGGAGCAAGTTACCATGTTTTTAATAAAATTACCACCAGATTACCAATGTTTGCCCTAACTTTACCATTGATTGGGTAAGAACACAACTATTTCGGTATAATTAACACTTTTTGAGATAAATTACCATCTTTTTGTATAATTAACACTTTTGGAGGTAAAATTACAATTGATTGGGTAAGAATACACTTTTTTTTAGTTAAGAATACCATTTTGTTTAGGTAAGGTTACAATTAGTTTGGGTAATATTACTGCTTTTATAGCTAAGGTTACCACTTGTTTGGCTAAGTGAAGGGGGGCAAGGTTACCACGTTTTTGGAGATGGTTACAATTTTTTTGAGTAAGATTATCAATTTTGTTATCGCTAAAGTTGTCACTTTTTTTGAAAAGGTTACCACTTTTCAGGACCGACCCACCCTTTTTAGGGATCAAGAGTACTGATCTAATCAGGACCGATCCACCATTCTTTAGTGATCAAGAGTACTGATCTAATCAGGACCGATCCACCCCTTTTTTACTGATCAAGACTACAAATCTAATTAGGACCAATCTTGGGATCAAATCAGAACCGATCTACACTGATCTTGGCTGGGATCAAGACTACAATTTAATTAGGATCAATCTTGGCAACAATATTGTAGCTATCAAGTTTCGAAATTTAAAAAACCCAAATAACCCAATTTTATTAACAAATATCAACCCGAAAATGTAATTCATGAACCCAAAACCAAAAACCCAACCTTATTACATTTTTTTATGTATTAGAATTTGGCATAAAATGCAATTGTGGATTATTTTTTCTGCTCAAATTATAATGAGGTCAAATTTTAATAGTAGCAAAATATAATTTTAATTTACTTGAATTATAATTCATAATTCAACTAGTTACATTAAACTAATCAAATAAACTTTTAATTTCATTCAATTAATACTCAATTCATTGAATTAACTTTCTAAATCAAACAATAAAGATTCAATTTAACAAATTAGCACCAAATTAACATGCAATTTTATTTTATTAATATTCAAATTAACACCAAATTAACATTTAATTCAATAAATTAACACCAATGAGTCTTTGGTCCAATGATACTCCTTATTTTGTAAATATTTTACTTTCTTGAAGTCAAGGATTTGAGCCCCCTCCCCCTTCAAAAGAAAAAAAAAGTTAAAAAAATAAATAAATAAATAAATGAACAAACAAATTCAACAAGTTAATATAAAATTAATCAAATTAACGCTAAATTAACATGAAATTCATCTAATTTATATTCAAATTCGTCCAATTAACACTCAATTTATTAAATCAACACCAAAGTAAGATGTAATTTTACCCAGTTAAAATTTAATTCATCAAATTAACATTCAATTCATGTAATTAACATTCAATTTTTTCTAATAAGCATTTAAGTCATTAAATTAACATTTAAATTCAACTAGTTAACATTAAATTAATCAAATAAACTTTCAATTTCATTCAATTAACACTAAAGTAACGTACAATTTCATCTAATTAATATTCAATTCATCAATTTAACACTAAATTAACGTTCAATTTTATTTAATGAGCATTTAATTCATTAAATTAACATTCAAATTCAACTAGTCAAATTCAACCATTGTTTGGATAAATTTATCACTTTTTTTTTTGTAAATCAAGACTTGTCTTAAATATCCTACCGATTAAAGCTTACTAATCAACCTTAGCGATTGTAGTTTAAATTAGGACCGGTCCTAAGACATGTTTAGCGATCAACCATCTAACTTAAATTAGGATCAATCTTAGTTGTCCTAGCGATCAAGATTATCCAATTAAAATTTGGGGTAAGTTATCACTAAGTTACTAATTTTGTGGGAGTAACTTATCACTGTTTGGGAGTAAGGGATCATTTTTTTGGGGTAAATTACAACTTTTGTAGGGTAAGGTACCATTTTTAGGGGTAACTTATCACTTTTTTGGGGTAAGGTGCAACTGTTTGGGAATAAAATTATACTTTTTTTTGGGTAAGGTACTATTTTTTGGTGGTAAGTTACTACTTCTATGGGGGTAAATTACCACTTTGAGGGGGTAAGTTGCCACTTTTTGGGGGGTAAGGTACAACTGTTTTGGGGGGTAAAGTATCACTTTTTTACAACTCTTTGGGAGTAAGATATCACTTATTTTGGAGAAAATGTATCCTTTTTTGGGAGTAGGTTACCACTTTTGGGAGTAAGGTAGAACTATTTTGGAGTAAAGTACCACTTTTAAGGATAAGTTACAATTATTTGGAGGTAAGATACTACTTTTTGGGGCGTAAGGTACCACTTTTTTAGAGGTAATTTATCACTTTAATGGGTAATATCTCACCTTTAAGGGGTAAATTATCACTTTCTGGTGGCAAGGTACAACTATTTGGAGGTAAGGTACCACTTTTTTGGGATAAATTAATACTGTTTGATATGATAAGAAAAAATAAAAAACTGTACCCAAGTGAACTCCAGAATGTATAGGCAAGGAAATACCTGCCTCAATAGTTTGTGGTGGCAACTCTAAACACTATTTTAAAAGGGATAAATGCCTTATGGTTTTTTTCACGTAAACTTTTGGGTTCCTATGATATCCACCAGCTCCATACAATATCTTAGTCATTTAGCATGGTCCCCATTAATCAAGATTTTATGGGAATAAATCACAGACACCTAATTTGGATGTTCTTTATACAAAATGATTGTGATCAAATCTAAACCACAATGGAGCTTTGGGTCCATCGGAGTGGTGAACCACTCTATGAAAGCTAGACCCACATGAAGCGTGTAATGCATAGTTAAAAAATGACAGTCACTATTTGAATAATTAAACAAATATCAGCTAACTAATATTGTTCGGGATTGGAGAATCTATCGAATGTTGACTAAGTGTGGAGGAGATAGATTATTTTAAGGAGAGAGAATTGTTGATTCCTTATAGTCATTTATTGTTATTTTCTATCTTGACAACTCATATTCCCCCACCTTTTAGCGTTTTGGGGCCCTATTATATATAATTATAGTGCCCTTTCTTTCTCCTTAAGTTGTAGGGTTCAATCCTCCCCACTTCTCTTATAAATTTGATACTTTTAAATCTAAATCATAATCTCATAATTGTTAATTTGATACTTTTACGACTATGTGAAACAATAAATCTACCATAATTTTGACACATTCATCAATAATAAAATAGTGCGTATCACACAACAGACACTAGGGTTTGTATACACATCATTAAACTTTTCATTTCTATTTAAATATGGATAAATAAGTTTTTGAAATGAGTCTATCCTTTTAAGACTCAAAAAGAAGTACTTGGACCACATGGCTCAAAAGTAGTAGCCACCAAAAATAATCTTTATTGGCATGCTATGAAATTACAATTATTATATCAATTAATATTTATTTATTTTTTTATCACAATGAGGGGATGTAGCTCAGATGGTAGAGCGCTCGCTTAGCATGCGAGAGGCACGGGGATCGATACCCCGCATCTCCATTTTTTGTCTACTCGTTTCTAATTCCCGCCCTTCGTCTGACTAAAAATTGAAAAAGTCAGATTCGAATTCATTCAATTCAAATCATCCATTTCTCTTCGTCTTGCACTTCTTGCTCTCCGAACTTCTATGTTGTATGAATCCTCTCAATTTGCCGATTATAGGTTACTTTACAATCAACTTTTTGCTTAATTTTGATTTTTTTTCATTGCTTTTGTCTTTCGTGATTTTCTGAATATATTAATAGGATTTTCTGTCAGGTTGATTGTCTTGCTCCACTGAATTCGTTATCACATACGGTAAGATCAGTCACAGATTCACACACTACTTCCTTAAATTCATTTTTTTCATGTGTTTTAGATCAGTTACTGATTATTTTTTTCATTCCATGTGATTATGAATTTTTGAATCACGTTTTCAAGAGAATAATGAGGATTTTCATTCGTTTGCAAGAATCGAATCCAAGGTAATTGTTCTTGTATGTTCGCTTTTGTTTACTTTACTTAAATAGCTGTTCTGTTTTAGAAAATGAGTGTACAATACAGAATTTCATAAGGGAAGCATAATATATATATTTATACATCTTCAAACTAGAAAAATACATCACAGTAGGAATTACATGGGGAAACAAATACATTGTTATTGGTAAATCGTTCCCACATTTGTTAGGGTACTGATTCAACTGCACGAGGATAGTATTCATGCATGATGTAGCTACACTTTTTGCTTCACTGTAGCTTTAGGTTCTTCAGAAGCCTGCAGGCATGGAAAAAAACATAATGAATTTTAAGCAGTGCTAGTTCTATCAGAGGCCTGCTTATTTAATTGAATATATTCCCTGATATCTTCCAATTTGCATAAGCTTCGTTGGTGTGGATATTAGAGGTTTGTGTTATCTTCCTCCAACTGACCAATAAATTCCAGAGACGACGCATATTCACAAATAAGTTTTCTTGCGAGCGATCAAAAGGTGATTGGTGATTCATTAAATTTTTCCCAAAAATCTGGATGATATAATTGAGAGAGAGAGATTCATTAGATTTTTTAATGGAATTTCTAATGCTGCTAGAAGTTTCAGCTAGATCTAGTTAAGTGTTGTCAACATGTCATGAGTAGAGGATTGGGATTAGTGAAGATCTAGTAAGTGTTGTCAACTTGTCATGAGTAGAGGATTGGGATTAGTGAAAAGTCATGTGATGATCATTGTCCAGACAAGACGCAATCTTGAACAAAGCACTAATTAGTTAATTGCAACAAAAATTAATGATATTGTCTGAGCTTTAATCCATTGCCCCATGTGAAATGTTATCTAAAACAAGTAGGATTAGATTTCATGTGGTCTCGTTTGGAAACCTGAATAAATTGAAAAAAAATCACATAAGTACAGAATACATAAATGTTATGCTTTTGTACATTCACTTGGGGAGGAAGACCCATACTGGTTTTGACTTTACTCCCAGAAATGGAAGCATAGCCAAAAACTACTGTAAACGGAATGAAGAATTACAATGCAGAAATTTTTAAATAGGGAATGGATTATATTTTGATGTTTTTCACATGTGTGTCATAGATGGTTTAAGTAGTCTTTTTCCGGTTGATGTTCAATTTGTTTGCACACATTAAGATGTTTCCTTAATTTAGTTTGCTTGCACTCCCCATGTCTCTCGGATAAAAACTGGGGGAAATGCTATACTGAGGAAACGACCTAGGTTGTTTTCCCAATGTGATTAAGGGACCATAAGCTTAGTATTACAGGAAGATGATAGCTTATATAGAGCTGTTGGATTTAGTTCAGGCGGAAGCAATTGCAATGATCACAACAGTTATAATTTTTAAGTTGCAATGCATCACTATTAGTTTGGTTGAGTCATGGTTGCAAGTTACACTACCTCTGTTCATTAGCAAATGCTCTACCATTGCTTCCGGTGGCCCTGTAGTTGGGTAAAGGGACTTGGTCAGATTCTATTTGCATGATATCCTTTACAAGGATCTCGTAGTGCCTCTTCACTTCCTCCACTGATTTCCCATCTACAGCCCTGGCTATGTTTTGCCAGCGGTCAGGGGTGTCCCTGTCATACAGAGCCAAAGCATCTTCGAACTGCTTGTTCTGCTTTGGTGTCCAGGAGTGGCTACTACTACGAGAAGCTGAAATTGAGCTTGATGCCATATCTGTCAAGTGAGTGAATTTTTAGAATTCAGGAGCTTGGTTTATATGAAAAGTTTTAAGTGAATGATGACAGGCGAAAAGAATGTATTTGGAGTTGGGAAATGATTTGAAAACTAAGAGGAGAAAGAGAACTGAAAAGTGAAAGAGAACTTAGAAAGAAAGAGAGAAGAGCTGCCTCAGTCAAGGGAGAAGACGAAGTCAAGTGGATGGTATGAACAATAGAGTACTAAGCCATCTCCTTATAAGCAGGTGGACACAGTGGTGGGGGCAGAGCTAGTTGGCGAATATTTTTAGATCTTTTGAAGTGAGGTACAACGTAATGTGATTAGTTTTCATAGGAGCCACAACGTGAAGCAAGGGAAGAAGGGCAAGGATAAGCTCTTTATGAATTTTTGGAAAGTCCTTTTCTTGTCTTTTATAATATCATCAGCAAGTGGACTTCCCAGAGCGTTCCCCCACCTGGTGGGATTAGATCCCCCAATTCCAACCCTACCCATCAAGATATATGCGCCGACTTATCAGTTCCTACGCCACAGAAAAATAAACCATCAAGATATTCTGCAATCTTGTAGTGGGACATTGTTGTTTTCATTACAACTCGTCATAACCGTTAAATTTACTTTGTCTAAAGTGTAAGATGATGATTCTTCTGAAAGCAAAAATTTCAGACAATTGCAATGGGGTTTGTTTGATTTGAATTGTTACCAGAATTGACCAAATTTTTGTCGACCCATGATTTGGATATATTGATCCCAAATGGGATGGGTTTGTAATCCAAATCACAAAAATATATGACCCCAAATTATAACACTAATTTTAAATTAATTCGTTTTGAAACATGTAGCATAAATATAAAAAACATATTAATTGACTACGTGTATGTAGATGTATAATAATATATTATTTTAGATAATAGAAAATTAAGTACAAATATAAGATAAATGGTAACTGAGTAGTGTTTATGCCTTTATGGATGTTCTATGATATATAATGTTGTATAATCGTGAAAAAGATTTTGGATGAGAGTTTCGAAACGAATTGCTACCCAAAATAGCGTAACACTTAAGTCCTCTTCAATCGTATCACATACTTAAGAAAATATTGTCCACGTCCTCGTACCACATATCAAAACGACCCACAATCTAGGTAAGGTAGGATGAAACTTTATCTACTTTTAGTCAAATTTCAATGTTAGCATCTGTATCTTCAGCCTGTCAACTAAAAAATTAGGCCCTCCTAAAGTTTATAAATCCAGTGGCTGCACCGGTGGTGCTGTATCTTTGTGTAGTTTCCATCAAAACAAAAAAAGCCAATGCCCACAAGAAATCAGCCCATCACTTCCTTTTATTATGCTTTATTTCCTTGAAGTTTATCCTCAGTTTGCATTCTATTAATAATTGGGAGTTGGAAATTGTGGTTTATTTTTGTTTTTGAGCAACAGTCTATAGGACTCTTTCCATATGGTTTGCTTAGACCCTGAGCTATGGTATTTCTTCTTGTTTTTGAATCAACAGCACAACAACAGTTGCTCTTTTAGGAGATCCTGTGTGTCCGGGATGGGTAAGCAATGGTTGATGCCCGTGCCAGTTAATGTCATATGCCAACCACAACAGCATCATATTTGATTAATCATTTTTACACCATCCTCTTTAGTGTTTAACTCTTTGGGTGGTCCCGTTGTCAAGTTTGTCCTCTTACTTGTCTTCTTGCAAGCAAGAGGTCTCACATTCCATACTTTCCAAACCTTTTAAGGGCTAGCCACCCTTGTTCTTCAAGGGGCATGTTCTTAAACTAGTTTAAGCAACGGTTGCCGAACTCAAGGAATAGTCAGCACAAGTCTAGACACCCTACAACAAAAAAGAAAAATCCTATTTATTGTTTTTAACAAGCTTTAGGCCATAGTTTAGTAGAGACAGCAAAAACTTGCAGTTCTGGCTACCGTCGAAGTTGTCTTATGACCTTTCCCGGTGTTATGGTCATTAGTTTACAGATGGATTCTACTTCCCAAAACTAACAAGGTTCTGCATGAATTTTTGAGCAAAGACAAAAGATTTCAAGGAAATTTGATTGGCCATCTTATTTTAGTGGTTTAGAATCAGTCTTCTTACTGTAGTTTGTTTGAATCAGTTACATAGATCTTTCCTCACTGAGGACTTTATGCTTTGACTATATTTTCCTCCATTATGCAAATTTTTTAGCTCATTAGGGGCATAATAGGGATAATTTATGATGTAATCAAATTGACACACTACCTGAGCAAATTGATTCCACTCCATAAATTGGAAAGCTGACCATGTAAACTCTTCTTGGAGTAACATGTTTAGTAGAAGTAGAAGCTGGTGCCTATTGGGGGTGTTAGTGGTTTGGTGGGACCTGGATTTCAAGCACTATGAATTTGGATGATTGCACAGTGATACTTGGGAGTAAGCAAGCTTGCAGCAGAGGTGCTCTTAAAGCTTTCTGTCTTAGGACGAGAGTTCAGACCGCGCAGTTAACCTTGATGCAGTGGCATAAAACATGCCTACGTAAGAAAAAATAAAAGATTAGGAAAACATGCCCACTGGGAAGATTATATTCTTTAATGTTCATTTTTATTTACTTTCCTACTTTAATTAGTATTAATAGACAGCTTGTAGTCTAGTAGAACATTCTGGGGTTCAAAATTATTATCAGCAGTACTAATCTTATAGTTCTTGTTAGACCAGAGCTAGTGTTAGTAGGATTCTATTGAGGGGTGTAATGGGCTTTTCAAATACATCTTCTACTTGTTATTTATTATCAATGGATATTGCTCTTGATATCTTCTCTTTCTCTATTTCTCAGGATGAGCTGTTTCAATACTAAAATTAATTGGTTTAGTCTAGCCTGTAATTAAATTAAGGACTGCTATGATGATTGCCACTTTACGATTATGGTTTATTCAAAGCGCGTGACATAAGTTTTGAATGAAACAATTGAATTTCCAAGGGTCTTGGCTCTTTGGATCTCAGTCAACCGCTATTCGTGTTTCAGGGAGGGCACTGGCTCCTTCTTAAGCATGATGTGCAAGGATGAACTTCTACCTTTTCCAACAGGCAAAGATCCAGTTTGACTGGCAATAATAAATGAAAGGTGGAATTATTCTGCCATTTTATCAGCTTATCATTAACTTTTTTATCAGGGTTGTGTAAATTCTCCCAACGAGTGGTCCCATAACTCAACTTGCTTTGGTCCTTGGCTTTGAGATACTGCCCACATGCAGGTAGAGGGCCCTGCTCATTGGTGATATTCAGGTAATATGCTAGGGATTGTTAAGATGTTACTCTATTCATTTGATATTAGAATCCTTATCATCTCATATCCATTTCAAGGAAAGTCATGTCTATTGATTCCTCTCTTTCTAACACTATGAACCATGCTTTTGTGTTCAGTGGTCCTTCCATATCATCAGAACCTTTCATCTACCTGATTTTTCATATGGTGGATGTTCCCATATAGCCTTTAACCACAGACTGGAAAATATACTTTCAGATTTGCCAAAAATAATCCAACTATGCATGTTGGTTGTTGGTTCAAGTTATTTGTAGTCAACAACGTGGAACAATAAAATAAATAAGGTAACGCAATAAAATAAAGAAATTGTGTCATGCTTTTATTGAACAAAAAAGGAGTATGACGAAAAGAAGTTTTTCACTATGAAGTGCTGCCAATGCATTTCAAGGTTCAAAATATCGGTTGACACTGAAATAAGTCGGCTGAATTTTATTCTATTAAATAATTTTTAAATTGATAATGTTATATGTTACAAATAAACTGAGTCTTGCACAACTCGATCGGATAGTTCGAGTTATTTTCAAGTTAATCTCAAATCATCAAGTTATTGTTATCGTTATTAAATTGACTCATATAGTTTTGTGACACCGTGTTGAATCTCTTGCCATGTTAAATTTTTCTTGGGACAATTACATTGAGACTCCTAAAGTTTGTCACTTAATCATCTAAATCCCTTGACATTTGAAATAATACACAGATCTCTTGATGTTTGTATGCGTGTAACATTTAGACTCTTATTGTTAATGTCTGTTAAATATCTGTTAGTATATCTATTAATAAATTATACTTGTACTTTCAAAAATTTATAAGCGTATAATATTTAGATATCTCAAGTTTGAAATATTACACTTAGACACCTTACTAATTATAAAACTAACGAAATTTAATAAATGACTAAATTATATTAATTAAAGATAGAAGATATTGTGTCTATTATAGTTTGATCTCTTGTTTGATTTTTAAAATTTTATTTCAATAGATAATATAATTGTATGAAATGAGTGTTGAATTGAGTTCTTTGATATATTTATACTAATTACTATTTTTTTTTCAAAAAATTGGGATTTTGTTTGGGTTTTATGTCAATGGATAATGTTAAGTTTGGAGAAATAAACTCAATATTAGAGAAAGACGGAGAGTGGTTACAACTTAACTTACTCTCACAAAATCACTTGTATTTATAATTAATTCATAATATAAGAATTACACATATATTCTCTTGTATTTACACATAGTACTCTAATACTATTAACAATCTATACACAATACCCCAATACTCTTAACACTCCCCCTCAAACTAGACTATATATATTATATAATCTAAGTTTGGAACAAATTGTTGCAAGATGTGTACGACTCAATGCTTTAGTAAACATGTCTGTAAGTTGATCTTCAGATTTTATAAATGGAGTCATAATCTCTCCAGCTACTATCTTGTCTCGGATAAAGTGATAATCAACTTCAATATGTTTAGTTCTCTTGTGAAACATTGGATTGACAACAATATGGATAGCTGTCTGGTTGTTACAGAACAACTGTAAAAAAAGTTGAACTGAAAACCTAATTTCTTGGAGGAAGTGTAGTAGCTAAGTCAACTCACTCGTCGTATGTGTCATTGCCCTATACTCAGTCTCAGCACTAGATCTTGTTACCACTGGTTATTTCTTACTTGTCCATGAGACAACATT